GGGGGGGGCGGTTTTGAAATTAACCGGCAGAGCGTGCGTGCACACTACGATCGTGTTGTCGTTTGCCATAATATTCGTCGCATCCGCGTTACCAAGCTAATAACGCGCGGTGATTCCTCATTATACTGCGCTATTGGGTGCAGAGTATTTTTAAAAGGCGCCAGCATAGTTGGCGGTCACCGTATAATGTTATTCAGATTGGCGGGACCAGCAACCCGAGCGTAGCAGCAGGTCTCTATGGGAACCAAGCGAAATTAAATGCATTGCTGGAAACATGCGGTATTAGCAGAGCCAGATAGTGGCACAAGGTCCTGGTCAAGTTTGCCCGTGCAGGAAGAATTTTTTTGCTTCCTTTTTTTTTCGTTTGAGTTTTTACTTCGCATACCCTCAAAGAACGCAACGACGAACGCGAGTTCCTGGATATCGTGGGCGAGATTGATGCACATATTAGTTTTGATACAACAGTTCCTGGTATCCGGTTATTATTGAAATGCACGAATTACACGGCATTGTAGACGGATATTTAATATTGGAAAAATACCTGGTTTCATCCTAGCAAGAGAGAGGGAGAGTGGAGGGAGGGGCAAAAGAGGGGAACGAGAGACTCTCAATAAACAAAAAGATTGATTTTCGACGTGGCTTTCCAGCGCTTGCCTAGGTATATCTATACAAAATGTAGGATGTGCTACCCGCTCGGTTCTATTGCAAGCGCAAAGCTCTGCGTTTGACGTAAAATTCGAACTAACAGATAAGCCTTATCAAATTCAGTTTAGCTCAGGAGTGAGGCTTATGGGTCGCAGATCACTTGTTATTAGTGTCATGAGCCGATGAGATAGACCTGTGTCGTTTAGTGCAAGAAACGCGCGCGGCGAAATGATCTCCTACGAGATGAGGCATCTGGAGAACCTGTTGATCACTGGACAAGACGTTCTTGGACTCGTGGGCGAATGCATTAGTGGCTTTGAGAGGATCTGGAGATGGTTCGTCATGCTGGAGTTCATTGACAACTTGGTCTTCGAGATTGAAGATATATGATGTAAACTCTTACATCGGTCTGGAGAACGTCCTCGTAGTGCTAGTGGTCCATGCGATTGGCAGCAGAGAATAAAAAAGAAAAGAATGACGATGAAAACATGTAACGAAGGATTTTCACCTTTCTATAGAAAAAAATATATATACTGTGAAACGTTCACTTTATTATAAAATACGATACATACTTTTGTGTTTGGTACATGTATTCAATAAATAAATATTTGATAACGAGCCGAGACTGCACACGCAACTGCGCTTATCGAGGCCTCGGCAGGTCGTGGGAGATGAGTAAATACAGTTGCCACGCTTTCGATATATTGCGTTATAAGATATTTATATCGTAAGGTCGGACGGGATTATCTGGCATTTTGAGCAGAATTAGTTATCACCCTCCATAGCTCAAAGTCATGCTGCTGGTCCATTCTTGTCTTCAAGTTCAATAACCACCACACATCGTGTTTGAGACATCTCATTGTCCGATGACAATTGGATATGCATGGATATGCATTTAAAAATCAAGAATGTCATCGTCGTCGTCGTCGTCGTCGTCGTCGTCATCGTCGTCGTCATCGTCCTCTTCATCATAGTCGTCGTTATCATCGTCGTCGCCCGGGAGAAATTGAATCTGTCCGAGTCCACCGCCGTCCTCCGGTTTGACAACTGCCACCCCATTGGCACCCAGTCTGATGCAGTCGAGTCCAATCTAAAAAGTATAAAAGGGATGAAGAAAGCGGAATAACGATGGGCGGCTGATTATCGTGTTCAAAGAGAAATGTGCAACCTTAAAAACAGTTGTATCTCGGAATTTGCCTTCCATATTGACGCATGCGTGGACATTGCGTCCTTGAAAATACACGTTATAGAGTCGGACGCAAGCTCGTACTATTGGAATCCTGGGAACCGGGACGCAGAACGGTCTGGGATTCTTTCCTGGGTAAAATTAAACGAGAAGGATGCTGGTAACGCGTCAGAGGTCACTAGCGGAAATTCGACGTCAAAGAGCTAATATAGAGAGAAGCGCAGCAAGAAAGAAAAAAGAGGAGAGTAGGAGAGCGAGAGGAGTAGGAATCAAATAAACTCACCGGATACCGTTCTCGTATATAGGATTCTGTCGTTCATAAGAATATTAGCCGTGAAGCTAAACTCGTCAGGATCATATGTAATATTAACGCACGCTTTTTGATTCAGGGTATTCAGTAATATCCTGGAGCAGCATCCGCAAACACCAGACGCGCACTGGCAAGGTCCTTGACGAGTGGCCGTGACCTGAGTGCCTCCTGCGCTCGAGTTTCCACTAGCCTGTTTAAGGATTTTCGAGAGGCCTTCCAGCTGAGATAGATCCTGATTAGCGCGAGAATCCTTACGAACCTGAATCAATTCATTCCCGAGAAATTTCGAGTTCTCGCCCATTACGCGTTCCGCGGCGTTAATAGAGAAAAGGATCAGCGCCACGTGCACAAAAGATATTATTCCGCCGACGGTCAGTTCCATATCGTCCGATTATCTCGAGATTCGAGATTCAAGTACCGATTATTCTTCCTCCTAGCTAGACCATCCTCGGCGTCCTTATCCTTGCCGCACTACACCGCCGGCACACCGGGCCGCTGACATGCCAGTCAAGACGCACTCTGGACTCTGGACTCTGGACTCTAGACTCGAATAACGGATACCGATTGGCCTCGTTCTCAGTGAAATTCCTGGCTCCGGTGGACTCTTGGATTAATGTGCTCGTGTAAATTCATATCGCTGTCAAGACCACGAATCTCACGAGGACTTTCTTGCTTTCTCCCTCTTCCTCTTTACATTCTGCCCCCCTCCGCCGCCCCGTCGCTCTCTCTCTCTCTCTCTCTCTCTCTCTCTCTCTCTCTCCCTCCCATTTACCTAGGCAAGCTTTAAAACTTGCTTCGTTTTCAGCACAATGTCATGAATGTCTCTTGATTATTGACTTTAGAGCTTCGGGCGAGGTTTGAGCGGATCGCAGAGGAAAAATAGTGGAGGACACACATAATAAAGAATATCCTTTTTTCCGTAGGAAATGCCAACAGGCGTACGGCGCTCGCGGCTAAAAAAATGGGAAATAAAAAAAAGCAGTAAAGCCTGCCGGTGATGCCGGAGTGAAGAAAAATGTGATTTTAATGTAAGACAGCACGACAATAAGGTATTAAAGCATGAATAAAAAAGTGATGTACACTAGAGTTTCAGCTGGCCGATCTTGTCCTCATCCTCGGGACTTAGGGTCGTCGTTTTGTTGGCAAGTAGTAGCGCTTCCGGATCCTGCTGTTCAAAGTGAACCTCGTCGTAGACTTCCGGTTCCGCGGAGACGCCAGCAATGCCCGGCTTCTGAATGGCCGCAATACTTCCTTCCGGCTTAATCCAGGCAAGCCCATCGTAGCCCATTTTTACGCAATCAAAATGGAAAATCAAAACTGGCGACTGGACGATCCGGGTTTCGAAATCCACGCAGGCGTGTAAATTGTTTCCTGGTGTAAATACGTCGTAGAATCTGATGCAGAAATCAATAGCCGGGACGTACGGAAGGGGCATGCAGAGGGGCGGTGGATTTTTAGCTAAAAAAGAATGGAGAATGCAACAAGCATATTGTTACCATCGATTTAGCTGTGTTGCACCGTATCAATCGCGAGCTTTGTTTATTAAACGCCAGTATCCCGGGGAACGTGCGCTCCCCTCACCTCTCCACTCCTCGCCCCTATTTTACTCTACTCTATTATACGGGCCAATCCGCGTGGCTCAATTACGTTAATTCCGACTCTCGCGTTAACTGCTTTATTCATCGGCCACTCGATTAATTATCAATGCAGCTACGGCATCAACCAACCGGATATCCCGTTGCTGAAGATCTGCTTCTCGTTCATGGTCACGTCCATTCTTATCGAGAATTCGTCGGGGTCATAGGTGAAGTTCGTACAGGCTCTCCGATCGAATTTAATCGTAGTTATGTTTATCCCAACGCAGCATCCACAGCTGAGATCTTGACAAGCGCAAGGAAGTCCTCCGAAGCCAATCCTCGTGAACGGAAGTCTCCCCGCGTCCTCCAGCTGGCCCTGGAAAGCCACGCCGCTCTTGGGGTCATAGTAGGCCGCCTTGAAGATGTCTATGACTGAGGTTCAAAATAATTAGGATCACTCGGAGCGCGAACCTGCACGGAGAATCGGCGCCCGTAACGGGTTAACGGGCTAATAATTTCACTGTCGCATTAGAGTTCATTGATGCTAATCGCATCTTGTCACTCACCGTTAGCGCTGACAACCATCGACTGGCAGGCCTGTTTGATAATTAACGAGATAACGAACGCCAGGGAGGCTGGGATCCTCGGACTTCTGGACATCCTGTCGAAAAAAGGAACTCTCCGCTTCGATTTACAACTCGAAAGTGAGACGCACGAAAAGCAAAGAGGCAGGCTTGGGCTCTTAGGCTCTGCTAAGTGGGAGGACTGCGGTACGTGCAAAAGAGGAATTTCAGGATGAAACAGTTTCGCTCGGGAGAGGATAATTGATTATGCATTAGCTTTCCCTAGAAAGTCGAGTCTCATTAAATTCGGCACGACTTCACAACGGAAATAGCGAAGCGCGCCCGCGCATCCCGCTACTTCAATCATCGGAATTCCAATAAAGTATAATTATTTATCCTGCCCGCATGCACATTGCGAATAGGATTGCCTCAGAATGCAATTTTTGCATTCTCATTTAACCAGATGAACATTTAACCAGAATGCACGTGTAGCCGCGCACCGGTATAGAAGTGTCCTGGTACCTAGTACCGTTACATTCTACGTGTACGATTCCGAGCCTGCATACCATGTCATCATTTATTTATAACTACTACAGAGACAATAAATTATATAAATAAGGCGCGTACCGCTGGCTAACATAAGTTTAAGTAGCCTAAGCAGATTATGCTAAATTCTTCTTCGTCTTCTCTTCGTATGGCTGAGAGTCATCTCGAATTGCTTCTCCTTCTTCCGTCCTCATCTCATTTCATTTTGCGTATCGTCATTTGGGATTCAGTTCCGGTCGAGTTCCATTTCCTTCCTACGACGCTTATCCTTTATACGTTGGACCATCATCTCCTCCCTCCTTAACCCCGTTTTTACTCGCACCTTTGATGCCAACGATATTTCTCAGTCCTTGATCAACGACCTGCTTCGCGAGCAAAGGTTCAATCCTTGCACGATGTCCAACGCACAAAGTTTCTTCAGATTCCTTGGGAGCAATAGGGACGATGCCTAAGGAATCAGGATAAGTAAGACGGGGAACACTAAAATCTCATGACACGACTTTGTCGTCCACTTTTGGATGACCTCTTCCTGGCAAGGAACTCGGCCAATCCGAATCCATAGTCAGCATCATCCTCTTCCGGATTCTCCGCCTCGTTCTCCTGGATTTTGTCTTTTTTCCCTTCGTCTTTGTCATCCTGAGCCAGGGCAGCCAAAAGCGCATCCTCTTCCTCGTCGTCGTCATCGTCGTCGTCTACGTCAACATCAAGTTCCTCGTTTTTTTCATCTTCGTCCACCTCGTCAGTGATCTTATCTTTATTGTTGTCTTGGATCTTCTGATTGTCTTCCTCCTCTTTCTCCCCTTCTTCTTCTTCTTTCTCATCGTCGTCGTCGTCGTCGTCATCGTCATTGTCATCATCATCTTGCTCCTCCTCCCCGTCATCCGTCTCAACTTCCTCCTTTTCGTCCTCATCGTCGTCATCGTCATCCAGATCAGCAGCTCCGAGAATATCATCCTCGTCATCTTCATCCTCTTCTCCCTGATTCTCCTCCTCCTCCTCTTGACTAGCCTGTTGATCATTTTTCACTGGATCAGGCTTGATAGGTTTCGCTAGGGGCTTCACTTTAATGTAATCCTTTATGGTGTTCGCACTGGCTGGTTTTTTCTTGTATCCAGTAACCTTTTTCAGAGGAGTCGAGGATACTTTTGGTGGTTCCACGACAACTTCCTGGTTACTCGAGCCGCCAACATCGTTATCCTTTTCGGGCATATCCGTCGCTCCGGCGGTACTCTCCGTGTTCATCTGCGCGACGGCATGCGTAATCTCCTGCACCGCTTCTGTATTCAACTGCTCACCGTCTGTCGCCATTTCGACATCCTCGGATGTGTTTTCGGGTTTTGGGGCGTTTTCCGGTTCAGCAGTGTCCTCGGAGGTAGGCTTACTTATAATGGGTATCGTGAATTGCGGGATTGGTAGCGGTGTCGTAACTTTTGGTCTCTTTGTGGTGGTATCGTCTTCCCCGGAGAAGATGTCGAAGAGTGCCCCAAGCCCAAGAACGTCGTCATCATCGTCATCGTCCTCAGATTCGTTATTGGACGATGAACTTGGTACGGCATTGGCTTCGGCTGGTTCCTCTTCCGTGTCCTCGTCGTCGTCGTCATCGTCGTCGTCGTCGTCGTCGTCGTCATCGCCTCCCAGACCGAAAATATCGTCGTCATCGTCGTCGTCGTCCGAGCTAGCGTCTGATTCCACTACCGGAAGTGGCTCGGCTGGTCTCAGTTTGAGGCCATCCGGTCCGAATCTGAAGGTAAAAATTTCGACAACTGCATATTCTGCGTGACATGAATCATAATTATATCTATTTACATGAAAAGCCATATTCACCTGAAACAGCTGACGCGCAAGCTCGCCTCAACTTCAGTCGATGACTGCAACTCCAGTCCAAGACAGGCCTTGAAGTGCTTATTGGCTTCTCTCTGTATTGAATAGATCCTGCCGCAGAATTTTGAAAATCCACCGGGTAGGGGAACGCACACGGGTTTCGGACTCTTTCCTGCCAACGAGAAAGACAGAGAAAAAAGGTAAAGGAATATCCATTGTGACGCAACATCACCCAGATAAAACACAAAGGGTGAAAGCTGCTTCCTGCTATAGAGAATATATGCTTGAGAGATGGAATCTGCGTAATTATCGTCATCCGTCGTATTTTTCCAACTGTGCGTCGCTCGTCTGTTGCATCGATCTCCTGTTCCTGTGAAACGGCGGCCGGCCGTCGGTCTCTATTTAACGGTAAACAACGGATATTTCTATGGAGCGACGTGGTAGACTCACATATTATGTCAGAGATTTAGCAGCGTGTTTATGTATGTATGCGGTGCCCGAGGCCACGATCTCGTCAGGAGAGACGCCATTTCTTGGTGAAAATCTCGATATTTCGCACTCCCTCGCGTTGGCCCTAATAATTACTCGTAATCGGGACATCGCCGTAATTGACAAACATCTACTTACCGCTGACTACGCTACTCGTCAATATGTTGTCGCCAAAGCTTATTTGTACGGCTAGGTTGTCACCCTGAAGATACTGCAAGGATGCACAGCCTGAAAGCAGGAAGGAGCGCGTGAAAGAGTGCAGGAACCTGGGAGCGGAATAGCAAGTGGCACGGGGCTCACGCAGCAGCCAGGCTGCACAGCTATTCATAACTTTGGTCACCTATACCAAATACAAGTAATGGAATCTAGAGGCTTTCGAGAATTACCGGGTCCTTTGAGTTGCACCAACGGGACATTGAAGTCGCGACAGCAGTTGCAAATGTTCTCGTTGCAGGTGCAATACTTGTTAACGTTGTCCGTCGCTTGTTTCAAGGATATCGTTGTAACGCCCAGGTTGCTCTCCTTTGTAGTATTAATCGCTCTAACGGCACGTCGCAGTGTGGCCTCATCGCGGCCTGCAAGAAGAAAGAAGAAAAAAAGATTTGAAAAATAGAATGGAGCCATCGTTAACTTGCAAATCCATCTCTCGCGCTTTGTCGGAGATCCCATCGTTTGCACGTACTTGCCAAGCTATTGGACAAGGTTTCAATGATAAACGTCGGGCTCACCTATTACTCTGGCATAGGCGGCAAACGCTATCAGCAGGAAGATAAGCAGCAGCTCGAAAACCGTGGACAACCGCATTCTTCTTGTTTTCTTCTGACGCCTGTTGATCGAACAAAATGCAAACAAGTAACTACAGATTATTCGCAGTCATGTGCGACGTGCTGCGCGTGCACGTGTGTTTGACGAGCAGGTGCAGTCGATAACACCAAATAGAAGAGTAAATGAATTGAACGGGAGACGAGAGACGCGTTCGAACAGCATTGCGTTATAGCCGAGTGTAGCTGATGCTGGCTCAGTGGAACTGGACGTGACTGACCATAAATCTATACATGCAAATATTCCCTGGAAATTATTCTTTGGAAATACAATAGTTTAACAACTTCTTACACGTGTCACGTATTTTTTACATATTTTTTAACAGAACGAAGCATCTACTTTAGAAGCTCATACTGCGTATGAACGGCATTATGAACGCAACGTTCCCCATTGGTTCCTAGCTGGTCATTTTCTTTTCAAATAAAATCCTTTTCATTTGTTCTTCAAGTTGTAGATTATTTTCGTTAGCTGGGCCAAGTATTTTCAGGGCAACGCGTACAAGTTCCGTGGCTGAAACCTGCCGGGCGTGACCGGTTGACCTACATCACGGTCACGGTCAAAGACTGGCCGGAATGGGCAATGGTCGTGCATGTCCGCTCGGTCACTTGCTAGGATAATGAAGGAAGCACTCCCGCGCGCCACCTCCCCGCCGGCCGCTTCCCCCCCTTTGCACTTCTGGTGCACACCATCATCACTTACGGTAGCGCTTGCTTAACATGGTCAAGTAGGACTGTGGACGCATTGGCACGCGTCAAATGACAATTGATCAGTCTGATAGACCGGGACTACACTACTGTTAACCCGACCTAGCCATTTCTGAATTCTGAGCAACTACCTGCGACTCTTTGCCACGAAGTCAGGCAAAAATGCTTTCTCGCTCTTTAACGTACTAACAAGGTCTTGCTCGTTAGAGCCCTCTCTCTAATGTAGCCGCCAACGTCTTCGAAGATCAAAGGAGTCTCGAGTCGCGGAACCGTCGGCTATAGAGACGGAGAGCAAAAGGGCAATTCTGCCTTGGCTTCGTTTCTTCTCTTCCTTACGAAAGTATCCCGCGACTGGATTCAGTTACTTAAAAATACGTGACTTACCTCGCGCGCTTGGTTTCTGCCTGAGACTGATTCGAAGGCAGCTACTCTCAGCACCGCGGTGATCCCGGTTTCCTGATTAAGACAAGAGGATCCGGCACTTCCTATTTATCACCAATTGACTCTCTTTTCGACTGTTAATCTCACGGAGGCCAATGTCCAACTGAAGATGCGGCCTTACTCCCTCCAAGCATGCCTTCGAAGTCGGTCGAGCCACCACTACCTCGCACCTCTCCCTCACCTCCCTTCGAATTATTAAGAATTCTAATGCCTCCCAACCTGGATCCGGCCCGTGAGGATGCATTAACTGCACTCTAAGAGATCCACCTACCGAGAGCCTTCGCTTGGGCAGGATGACCCGTTCGACTGCACTTGTGTCATAGATCCGTCATAGACCCAGGTGCAATTGTTCCTGGTCGAATGTGCCAAACGAGACGCCAAACGCGTCTCCCTGGTGCCAATTCCAGTCCAGCTGCCAGTATAGCTGCCGGCGTGGACGCGAGGACGACTTTGAAGGGACTCTGAATCGCCAAAGGATGCTGCGAGAACTTTGCCATTTCCGGGACACGTAATTGCGTCTCTGCGAAAGATTCCAAGTAGAATTATAAATAAACCCGAGTCAATGTCGTATTTTGGTGGTCAATAAAAAAGGTGGCCTTTCTCCGCTTAGTGGGTCAAAGAAAGTAGCTTCCAGGAGTGGTTTACCTTGGTCAACACTTTCCCAGCGCTACGCCCACGTCCACCAGGAAGTCGCTTAGGGATACTCGCCAGAAGAGTGCATCGCCAGAAGAAATTTCGTAGGTCGTCTCGGAGATGAGTCGATGAACGTTAAAGGCACTAAATTGTCGAAGGCCACTCAAGAAAAAGAAAGGAAAAAAATAAGGACACTTTTGAATCTGGGTCAAATCGTTCAACGAGTTTTTACGTAACCCTATGGTATAACACACTCATCGGATTTGGCCGGAATATCAATTAGAATCGTTACAAGTATTTTCCTTGAATTTTTGTATTTTCTGTATCCATTGTGATCATTAATGAATCCTCATCGAAAGTTGGAATAACTGATATGTCACATCGAACCCAGAAAACTCGGTGCCCAATGAGCCAATCGGCATGAATTCACGGCTGAGTCTGGCTACTGGAAATTCCTGTGGTTTTAAAGTCGAGAAATGGCTATTCCTCGCATCCGTCGATTCTCCGGAGGAAGTTGAATAGGACCGGATGTGAATGCTAGAGGAAGCTAAACAGGATCGTATGGTGGAAAATTTTAATACAATGGACGATAGTTTAGAAATTTGAGTTTCTTTTCCTTTCTTTTTCTTTCCAGTGGGTCTGACGCCGCGTGCGACACACTATGTCATTATTCCTTGGTAGTCGCGACGTTGCCTCCTCCGGTATATTGGTCGCAACCGGTCGCACCCACGCGGGCGAGTCGGAGTTAGAGAAGGAGCGACGCCTTCCTAAGAAAGATGGTTGGCACGCTTCGTCATCTTCCTGGTCAATCAGAATTACAGGAGCTCAAGTCCCAAGAAGAATAAGTGCACGTGCGAGCATATAATGGATAGCCTAGATACTTCTGTCACAAGATAATCTCCTGCGAAACTCGACGGGCGATTGCGCACCGAACGTGGAATTAAAGAGGCATATTTGCAAGATTGTCAATACTCTACCCCGTGAACCGCGGGTGCTAACGTGCACGCGTCTTACGTAGGACGCGCGCTGCCTATTGCCTCCCGTGAATTTCCCACCGAGCGGGAAGGACACTATTTTCAATAAGAGATTGAACTGGGCTCTTTAGAGTGACGTCTTTCCAGCGGCAAGTGCAATCGGCTGGATTCCTGTGCAGTTCTGGAGGAAGGCCCTTCCTCCACCGACGAGGCCCAAGAGCAGAGACAGGGCCTTGTGGTTCTGAGCGCACGGAAAGGGGGTCACCCGGTCACCCAGATGAGGTTCCTTGCCCGTCGCCTCCTGGGACCGCCAATGGGGCATCGTCGCCGAGTTTAATCGGCCAATGGAAGTGCGCCTTTCCACCCAAGAGACAGAGGATCGCGTATGTGCGTCGCGTGCCGGGCATCTGGCCAGATTTAAGCTTGTTCCTTGCCCGGCTGGATCTCCGCCGTCCGGGGCCATCATCCACTTTTCGTTTTGACACTCGGCGATTCTAACGTAGTTCTGCCGAAAAACCGTGTGCGCGTGCGCGTTATAGGGCCTCTTCGTCCTTTTCTTATCTTCCTCTTTTTTCTTTTTTCTTTTTTCTTCTTTCTTTTTCCCTTATCCTTCTTCTCCTCTCTTTCCTTTCCTTCCGTTCCTCGCTATCCTTTAATTCTTCCCCAACTTCCTGCTTCCAGTCTTCTCGCCCACCAGCTCACCTACTTAGTTCCTTCCTCCTGTCTCCTTTCATTCAGGGCCAGTCTAATTTCCCGGAACGACGCATCGCGAACGACTAATTGGATACATATACGTCTTATCATGTGGGCTATCAAGGCGCTCGTCGTCCTCTGCGCCATCCTCGTCACTGTTTCATCGGAGGGATTGCTGGGTGAGCGTCTTCTTAACTTTTCAAGTATCGCTATTTGTATTTCTATGAATTTATTGAATAGAAGAGCCAAAAGATAATTAACGAGAGCCTTATGTGATTATTTCGATGCTACTCAACTTAATGTACCTTTTCCTCGTCACACTGATTTATTGGACGACTGAACGGTCTCTCATTGCCAGTCGGTAATAGTTGACGACTGTCAATGTCAGGACTTTTCTTAATGACGATTTCGATCACGTCGCGTAATCGCACGAATTCCTCGACTGATATTACAAAGTTTTATTACACGCAGAAGGAGGAGAGTAGCTCAAGTAGAATATTTATTTTAAGAAAGTTTCAGCAGTTTCGGAGAATACCTCTTGCGTCTCTCTCTCTCTCTCTCTCTTTCTCTTTTTATTTTAATTATCGTTTCAGAGACTTTACTCTCCTGGGAATTGCCCGTGGCCGAGGGCAGATCCAGCAGTAAACCCCAGTCGAAGTGTCTCTGCCAACCCTCAGGATGTCTTTGCTGCGTCGACCTGAATCTAACGACGACCATCGACCTGGGCGGACCGGCCTGCTTGAATATCAAGTATAAGGAGGAGAACGTGTCCTTAAATTTAAGCTATGGTGACAACGAGGTCCACAACGCCACGATAAAACTAGGTAACGCGTGTGAGATCGTTACATTTATCTTATCGTTAGTCCTACAGTGCTACAGTGCAGATATTAGAGAGTTTTTGACATTACAGTAAACGCAGCCAACAAACCCACCTGCATGAATCTTCTTGCCGATCTGGCGCAAATATGCGCACGATTCACTTCCGTTGAACAGGCCGCTTCCGGAAACGACGGTTGCCTCGTCATTGAACCTGCACTCTTGGGAGCAGCTCAGGCTACTTATCCTATTGGCTGCTTCAAGTTCCATCAGGCTGCGGTCCAACAGATAGAGTCAGCTGTGTAAGTATAGGAGCTTCAATCTTCCAGGATCTAGATTCTCATCTTCGAAGAAGAAGACGAAAGGAGGAGTGGATGATGGATTATTAAAAAATTCAATTGATCGTTCAGGATTCAGGAAGCTGCAGATGCGACTGCAGCGCCTGACGAGGAGGAGGAAGTCCTGAACACGGATGAACTCATAGCCGCCGTCTCAGCAAGCGCTGAACAGGGAATAGCCATGTTTTCACAGTGGTTGGGTCTGAATCTGAATCCCAAACTAAATCTGACTGGTGAGAATTCAGGGCAGGAGAGTCATTCGGCAAGTCGAGCAGCCGAGAGTTCGGGTGCCCGCTCAGGTCGACAGCTGGCCCAAGTGCAGCAGGAAAAGAGCGACGAGAGGTTCAAGCAATTGCTCAGCGCCCAGGACAACATCCTAAAGGAGTCGGCTAAGATCGGAGTTCCTGGCGCAGGCCAGACGTACTTCGTTTACTCGGATCCCGTCGAGACGCTGACCTCCTCGGCCCCCAGGACGCAGGAGCAGGCGCAAGGACGGGTGCAAGAACAGGATGCCCTTGGAATTGTCCCCAGGGAATCCCGAAGAGGTGGCCGTGCCTACAATATTCGTCAGCACGTAAACGAGGTCTGAGGAATGTGTAAGGATGTGTACAGTCAGCTGAGATACGTGCATGTCGCACGAGGTCCAGGTCCTAAGGACGTATAGTGCACTTTGCGCAAACACACAAGATATCTTTGACAATTATTTTTCCCCTTTCTTTTATCTCTGCTTTCCTCCAAATGATATCACGTCTTATACATGTGCTTTTTAATAATTATTTATTGTACCTTTTCTCTTGTTTTTTAAATATTTCTTTCCCTTCGAATCCCTGAATTCAATATTTTTAAGTGTATTCTCGATATCATTCCAGTTGCACGTTTTCACAAGTGCATCGGGTGCATCGGGTGCATCTCAACAGTGTAACGAGTAGTATTTGTTCTTTACTTTATTATCGCCTTTACATTCACGGGGAAAGTACCACGAAAATATTTCATCGTCTCGTAATAAAGTGTGTACATTTCAATATATACATATATGGTACCTGTACGTTATTCATCCAATAAAAATTCTAAAATATATCTATATATATATATATATATTTGTGGTATATGTAAATTAGTGTACATGTATATTCTCATATGTATTTCCGACGATTGTAAATAGTACGCTCGCTTCCTTTTAAATTAGAAAAGTATTGCATTTCACATGAACTTTTTCGTTTTTCATTTTTCACACTTCTTACTGTTATTACTATCCGTAGCTTTGTTTGGCTTGATTCTTCTGTTTCTGTATTTGATCTCTGTTTCGCGTTTCCACACTCGCGAGTTTATTCGGATACGATATGTTCTGCTTTTTTTTTCGGAAAATTGGAAAGCTTTTATCGTTGCTACCTTTTTCCTTGTCGAGTTTTGATTCGATCTCATAACTAGAATAACTAGAATAACATTAAAGAATTAGATTCCAAGATCGCAAGGAGGACAATTAATATTAGTTATTTCGATCTTTCTCTTCTCTTTGCTTTCTTCTTCTTTCGGTGCGCTCGAACAAGGAACCTGAAATTTCAATAAAGCGTGCAGATACGGGTATAGAACTATAGATAGTCGTGAATCCCATTGACGAGTAACACAATATCTACCTATAAGGTAGCGTACCAGACAGCGGAACATACTATGGGACAATATACTGCAGTAAACTAAACATCTTTTATCGTTGCTTGTTCTTTGTCGCGTTCTCCCTTTTCTTCCATAATCCTTTGAGCGTTAAGTCATTCGCGCATTTATACATATATTTAAAAAAATATTGATATTAATAGTACATTATGAAACAAGGGAGTAAAGTCGTTGATTATTCCCGTGGGTGAGAGTGTACTGCCCGAGCGAAGCGAGGGCAGTAAATCACACGAGGGAATAACCGACTTTACTCTCGTGTTACATATAGTGCTTTATTCACGACTGAGCTATAATAGCCACTTTATTCCCTGAAAAGTGGAACCAAGTCAGCCACCGTCATTATGATGAAAATATACGTTTTTTCAAATATTCAAAAAATTCAAAATTTTTTAATTTTTCACCTTTTTAAAACTTTCAAAAATTTTCAAAAATTTTCAAAATTTTCAAAATTAAAAAAAAATTCAAAATTTTGCGGGAATAAAGTTCATTATTCCCGCAAAATATGGGAATAAAGTAAATTTGCGGGAAAACCAAATATGCGGGATTAAAATGCTACTTTAGTCCTGCTTTTCAGGGAATAAAGTGGCTATTATAGCTCAGTCGTGAATAAAATATATTACATATACTTTTAGGTGTATTCCCGATATAACTTTTTGTTAAAGCCCCGAAGAAAAGCCTTTGGAAAGCCAGAAAAATCTTAAAAGTCGACTAGATGCGCCAAACAAAGATTTTTGTCCTAAGAGAAAAAGAGTCGGAGATCCGCGTCATGATGGTCTCCCATTAACTTATTAAAAAATACCAATTGCCATTTCGTCTCTTTAAAACTACTATATATTATTCATTAACATATTACTAAATTTGTTCATCCGTGCCTTTGCGGCCTTCCCTTACACCTTCTCGCCATTAATCTTTCCTTCACATTTTTCATCCTTATATAGTCTCACTATTACTGTATAACGTACGTTAGTAGAAAATATTTTTGGGCTGCGTCTTTGGAGTGAATCTCTCGCGTTGGTCTAGCTCTTTTATATTTCTTTCCTTTCCCGTATTCCTCTTTAGTTGTCTCTTTGTCCCTGCTGCTGCTCCGTTTAATTATTCCGTTTAATTATCTTTGATGCTCGCTGTAGGATATGTGAGTGCAAGATATAGATAGAGAATCCTAAGAAAGTTCTGAGTAAAAAAATAATATCAAACGCTCGAGAGGCTTTGGATTGATACGCGACAGCATCGCTTTCTTAGGTCCCTCATCAAGGAGATATGCATAGGTATATAGTATATGCGAATATATATATGTATATATCTTACGACTTACTATACAGATTACGAATGTATATGTATATTAATTGATACAGCGATTCGCGCCCGTCATGCTATTGCTTGAACCTTTTTATTTTCGTCCTTGTCTAAAAATTCAAATTCCCTGAATCATTTTATAAAATTTCTTATAGTTCCAGAGCATTTGGTTTCATGCGTATATTTACGACTGAATTTCGTATCTATCTGTTATGTATCTGTCTTTGCTTCTGTTGTCGCTTATATCGATTTCTCTTGTTCGAATCTCTACTTAACTAACGATCAATTTTCATTCGATATAAATCTTAGTGGCTAATGGAATAAATGTGGTAATGGAAGATGCCTTTAATACCGTCAATGGTAAATTTCGTCGATGGGGTATCAATTTCGAATTCTCATCACTGATGCCCATTTTGTAGCGAAGCTCGACGGACTCCACCGCACTTGTTATTTCACTTGACAGTCGGACGGGACGTAGGAGCTGTCGGCGGAAGCGTCAGGGACTCCCGTTTCCGTTTTGGCACGCGACGTCCGATATGAAGAACCACGTCACCGGCTTTGACCGACTTGAACTCGGCTATGGCTTCGGCGTGGGTCATGCCATGAAGAGGTTTCGAATTTACAGACAAAATTTCATCGCCTGAAATACAGATGGATGTCCAGCATGAGAAACGGATCCTTGTTAGGTATATTTTCTGAAATTCACTTAAAATCTTCATTGTGCCAATATACCTTCCTTGACGGTGCCCAGCTCTGCCGCTTGTCCGTTGGGAAACACAGTCTTTACATATATTCCCATGTTCCCGCGAGGACTGTCGGTGCCGCCTACGATGCTAAAGCCCAGACCCTTGTGTCCAGGTCCCTTGATGAACCTGGCGGTGAGTATGGTGAAGGAAGCGCCGGCTTTTCCGGGACGTGGAAGCGTGCAGAACCGTGATTCCTCGCCCTCCGTATTCTCGTCGATGTCCTCCAGTTCGGAATCAGTATTCAGACCCTCGTCGGCATCCTGGAGACCCTGACAGGAATGAAATTTCAGATTAAAATTCTTAACGATCTCAGAGGTCATATGTATACGTTGTAACGTGATTTTTCGAATCACGGTCCCAAGGCGGCTCCGGTTACCGATACAGCTAACGTTCTCGATTTCTGGTTCCCTTCGGGTCGCCACCCTGCTCAGAAGCTACGCTCTCGGGTTGATTCGTACAGTTATGTCAAGGCTCTAGTAAGATTGTGTCATTGTCTAGTTGAGGTCGAGGTGCTCGAATCTGCCGTGGGGAGATGGTCTCGACGTACCGAGTTGCCCGGCAGAGGAGACGACCCGACGGAGACGTCTCCATGGACCGGCAGAAGCCCGGGTGAGATACCGGCGCCCCGCTGGAGATGGG